GGAGACACAATTAGCCTCTTCTCACTCTGGCTATTAAAGGGAAACAAGAGGCCAGTAGCTTTCTGATGCAGCTGAGGCCAGCTGGCAGGAGGGAGTTATCAGTTTATCGTGCTCACATCAAACTGGAAACACAATCAAGAATGCATTTAAATAAAACCAGATTCTTTTGACTTCATCTGCAAAATTTAACTAGATATTTAAAAACCATGAAAGCAGATGTATTAATAACACATAAGCCAAGCTGGTTTGCTGCCGCACACTTCTAAAAACTGATCATTATTGTGGTTTTGGCTGCTGATTTTCAATTAATAACAAATAAATGTGTATTATAGTGATAATTCCACCTCTCTACTCAAACGCTGTGTCAAACTTCCAAATAAATTCAAACTGTTTCGTTTGACAAAAGAAGAATTAACCATCATCCTTCTCTGGTAAAGATCGTATCGTTGATGCAAACTTGTTGGCTGCAAAATGTGGTAAACGCAACCGACCAACAATCCTCATTCAAAGTTAAATAGTGATTCACTGTAACCATCTGGAATAATACAAATGCTTTGAGTTAATACTGGATTACTTATGGAAGGAGCCATGAATTCAACCAAATAACTAAACAGCACACTTTGATCTATGAGTTATTTATTAATCTGAAGAGAATGTGGTCATTGCCAGACATGGTGCATCTTGGGTATGCGCAGCTGGTAACACTGGCTCCAGTAAATGTGTGCGTCTGCATGTTTCAAAATAAAAGCCCAGCAAATGTTGATAAACCATCCACAAAGCCATTTTTCTCAGCTGTTTCTGTAATTAACACAGACTTTCCCGGCACGTTATTTCTGTGGGAGCTTAACAAGTTCTGGCTCCGGACTGGATGGGGATCAGAAGCATCTTCAGATGCTTGAATTAGATGGGAGACAAAAGAATCAGGGAGTGGAGCTGCCAAACTGTCCTGTGGGGGCACATGCATGAGCTGCATGCCGGTTTAAAGGAGGAAGAGTTTGTGTTCATGGCTGCTATCTATAGACGGGAGTGGTGCGACATAGCAGCTGCCCCTCTGACAGCAGCGACGCGTTAACCTTCAGCCAGCTGTCCCGGCCTGCAGCTTCAACATGACCTCACTAACAGAACCCTTACTCACTTTTTACAGTAACTTTGCCCATCACCTTTAAACTTTTATCACTGATGTAACGGAGAGCGCTGTCCCAACAAGGAAGTCTCCAAGAACCATCTGTGTAAACAGAATCAGCTCAGGTTAACATCTGAGACTATGCCAAATATGAAAAAAGTACTGTTTCAGCCAAGTCCAGTCGTGTGTGCTCTCACACACCACATACAGCCGCTCACATACTGGACCATCATCTGATCCACAGTGGGACTGGGGAGGGGGGTCAGCACAGCGTGGCTACTGGCTACAGCTGTCTCACAGCAGGTCAGGTTACCCTGCCACCGCCATCCCCAAGGCCTTCACCAAGGGAACGACCCCACGTCAAAACAACACACTCCGACCCTTCCTCACCCTCCGACCCAGTCTGAGAGCTCAACGTGGACGCTCGTAGAAAAGGTGCTCACCTATTAACACCTTGTGTGGATGCTCAGCATCTAATAGTCATGTAAGGTAGAAAATAAACCCTTATGAGCAGTTTGCTTAATTGCCCTTTTAAGTACAGCAGAGGAACAAAATGCCAGAGATTTGTTTTTTTAAGGTTGTACAATCCAGGGCTTAACACTAACTGAACCACTGAGCCAAAACTGTTGCTGTGTATTTTAGGGCTTCTGCATTCATATTTGCTCTTATCGCAGAATGGCTAAAAAGTGTGGTTTACATCAATAGCTCTGGATAATTCAGATGTTTATAATCACGTTATACACCATAGTAATGTGCACCACATGCTTACAACTGAAAGAGTGCCCATAACATTATGACCTAATTACAGGGGGCTTAGAAATCAAAACAATTAAATTACAGACCAAACAAAACTATTTACGACAGGGATCGCCAGCTCCAGTCCAGAGCAAACATCCTGCATAGTTTAGCTACTCTCTGGCTCCGACACACCTGATTAGAATTAGGGATGCACCGATGGATCGGCATTCGATCCCAATCGGCCGATAGCGTCCCTATCGGTTTTGATCGGAGTTTTCAAAATAAATCAAAGCAGACCGATCAGGTAGGGTTGTCACGGTAACTGGTGTAGCGGTAAACCCCAGTAAAAAAAAAGTTGACAATAATAATAACCGTCTTGTTTTTAAAAAAACATATTATCTCGGTGGGTTTACCGTGGCTGCGGTGTAGGCGCGGTGACCCTTACCAGCCACCGTATCATCTGCTGAAGTTGCCGGCGGCACATGCGCACTTTGTTGTCTACAACCAAAACTTTCTTGAAGCTAAAGCTGAAATAATGGTCAAAGGAGGAGACGGCAGCGCTCAGGAGGACATTTATTATCCCTCAAAGAAGACAAAGTGGGAAGTACGGGCATTTTTTGGATATTTGAAGAATGCCGAGGGAGTTTATAGAAGACGGACAGCTATCCTGTTTGCAGCACGTGCAGAAAAAGTGTCTGTGAAAGGCAGCAACACTTCAAATCTCATGACACATCTGCGTGACCATCACCCACAACTCTGCAGTCAACGCAAGGCAAGCTAACGTTAGCGTTTTAGCTAAAATGGGTGATCCGAGGATTTGGGTTGAGGGAGAATGCAACGAGTCGCTATATAAAGCAGCCGCAGCGCCGCTACCTGCATATAAACCGTGTCGCCGACACCCCCATGTTGAAATGACGCTATGCATTACGGGGCTCCCAGGGGCAGATAAGAGTTGGTCTCTCTCCGAGAATAATTATGAATTTAACAATGATTATTGCCTGATGACATTTTCCCTTAATCTGCAAATCTCACTGGAAGGACACAAACCGAGGACAATATTTTCCTGATATAGGGTTTAATATTCAAGTAAGGGTAAAAAAGTATCTGATTAGAAGGCTACTTGAGTACTGAGTATCATCTGATCTAATATTTTTAATATGATGACATCAAACAGACAAAAAATAAGAAGTTATGGGCAAATGTTGGTATTTTAAAGACTAAAGGGAAAAAATGTAAACAAATAAACAACATAATTACAAAATAACACATTTAAGGCAAAATTTAGACACAAACTGAGGACAATATTTCCTGACATACAGGGTTTATTTAATTGTGTGAAAATGTAGCACGTTAAAAAAATACCACGATAATACCGGAAACCGTGGTAATTTTGGTCACAATAACTGTGAGGTTAAATTTTCACACCGTGACAACCTTAATACAGACCATTTTAGATTAGGTTACATTTCCTTTATTGCCAGATTATGTAGTTTGTAGCACTCATTATAATGTTGTAGAAAATATCTGGCCAATCCACATGATCGGTATCGGTGATCAGCATTCTTTGATACCGGTATCGGTGATCTGCAGCAAAAAACCTGATCGGTGCATCCCTAATTAGAATGAAAGTGTAATTAACAAGCCGTGCTGAACTCCACAGGCAATTTGATCATATGGTCCAGGTGTGCTGAAGCAGGTAACAAAAAACCTGCAGCTTGGTAGCCCTTGAGAACTGTAGTTGTTCACCCCCCTGACCTAGTGATGCCAAGGGACAGAAGGTCTCATGTAGGTGTCTGATGAGTTCAGAGGCCAAAGGAAATACTCTTTTTGTGTAATTTGGATCATTTTTAAGACTGTGATTGTGATTTTTGCTGTTGAAACTAGTCTCAAAGCATCAAAGAAACCTTCTTTCTAGAATCAGGTTTTTCCAGGAGAATGTTGCAAACTAGCTAATGTCACGGCTGATCAGTGCAGATGATTCATGTGATTCAGAGTGAAACAAAAACTGGAAAAACTTCTACAAATCCGCTTTTGATGGAAACGTTGCAAAAATAACTAATTAAACTGACTTAGTTTGACTTTAATGACCCAGTAAAGTCAAACTAAGTGTTAGATGTTTGAAACACAGATGGTATGCTGCTTTAGAAGTGGTGCTGAGTTCACTTCACCTACAACTACAAAATTATAGAAGGGTTATTAATGCTTTCTAATATACGGTACTATACAAGTTCTCGGCCACTTTTACTAAACTTTTAAGGAGATCAACTGTATTGTAGATGAAAAGAAAGCATTTGAAAGACGTTCAGAAAGTCTTAAAAATTTATAAGCACAGATTATTTAAAAACTGGTTATTCGGGAAAAAGGACGAAAATAAAAGGAATACTTTTGCCTAGTACTGTTTAGCCAGCAGACTCATATGATTGATTATATATGAATACATATGTAACAATAAAGCTTTTGGGTATATTTCCATGAGTTTTGTCCTCAGCAATGTCCTTTTTTCAAAGATGCTGCTGATTATTCAGGTTTGCTCCCTCCACGAGGGAAGCCTGAGTGCAGGAATTCACAGCAAGATGATTAGATTGATAGAAATAATAGGAGTCTTCCCCCAAAGTGTTCCCCTGCAGGCTCCTTCCTGTCCGGGCCTTCATACAGCAGCTCAGGCGGATTGAATCTGCAGGTGAGCTCTGACAGTCGTCCAAGTATCATGGACATCATGGACCCAAAAGGTGGAACTTCTCAGAAATGTGGGTCACTGAATGTTTTGGTTTCTGCAATGCAAGATGATACACGCGGAGCAGCCACAGCCAGATCTCTTTTACAATCAAGCCTCGAACAGCTCAATGACAGCCGCCCTCGCCGACTGTTTGTTCAGCTCTCAGTGGTGTGAAAACAACAAAGCTGACACTAATGTTTACCTATGAACTCTCCAGGACAGAAATCTCCAACCATGAACATCGCTGTAGTTTTAGACGGAAGACACGCTACACAGCTCAGAAATCCTACATTCAAAACGAGTCAGTGAAGTCAACATTTCTCTATCGTCAACGCAGGCTAAAGGAAGTATGTCCGCATTGGAGAGTGCCTCCAACTTGTGCTAAATTCACAGAAATTAACTGGAAATAATGAGGACCCATACCAGAAGCGACTAACTCCGCTCCGACCGAGGTCCCCGACCTCGGAGCTTCTTTTCAGGCCGGATGCCGCCGTCTTTCCTTCCAGAGTGTGAAAAAACGTAATCTGCTTCTTCTTTGTGGCTTTTCTGTGTGCTCGTTACTTTCTCCTCCGCAGTGTCGCCTATAACAGCGGGCTAACTGCGCCCGGAACCATGGTTTGTTTTTAGCCGTCAAAGTTTGTCTCCCTGTGGGAAATGGGACGCTCTGTCGATGATTTGGTCAAGACCATAGCGGAGAAGATTACTAGTTAAACTGAGCGAGTCCACTCCGCCAGTTGACGCTGCCTTCTACCACCAGTCTGCCGATGAGATAACGAGCTGCTGGGAAGCAGCGACCCCTGTTGGTAGGTGCAGGAACAGCGGTTACTGCAAAGCAAGTGGGGCTGCAGCGACCCCTACTGGATGAAATCCTATTTTCACAGTGTTGAATGAAAACCTGCATTTTGGGTTTCATGTCAACTTGATTGACTTGATTGGTTTGTACTGTTGAGTTCATTTGGAAATAATTTAAACACACACACAGCAGGGCCCTGGGATCCATAAGAAGCAGTAGCCCAGAGTCATAACCAACCAGGGGAGAACCTACTTTTTACTACTATGCTGCACACAAAAGGAATCCTCTTCTTTTTGTCTTCAACTCTTGACTTTTTGATAAAAATTGAAAACTTTGATCTATTTATCTGCATTGTGTTATCTCTTCTTATGCTGCATCTTCTGTGCTGTAAATACTTGCCTTTTAAGCTTGCATTGTCTTTTAAATATTATTTATGCAATATATGTCATTGTAAAATCTACAGTTTTGTGATTTTACAGATTTTTTTCTCTTGCACTTGAAAAGCACATCAACTTGCCTCTGTGTATGACATGTATCTAAATAAAAATGCTTGAAACTATATCAAGCCCCCAATATCAAAAAATGGTCTTGAATCAGTCTCCCCCTGGGAGTAATAAAGTATTTTTGAATTGAATTGAAATGAATAAATCAGAACCACCAGATTACCATCATGTTATTCCCAGTGAGAGATGGACTCCGTCAGGGCTGCCCTATGTCACTGATTCTGTTCATAACTTTAATGAACAGGATTTCTAGGTGCAGTCAAGGTATTGAGGGGATCCGTTTTTGTGGCCTAAGGATCTTTTGTGTGTGTGTGTGTGTGTGTGTGTGCGTGCGTGCGTGCGTGTGTGTGTGTGTGTGTGTGTGTGTGTGTGTGTGTGTGTGTGTGTGTGTGGTGAAAAAGGCTCTTTTTTTTTGATGGTCTCTAAAATTCCAGCCAAGGATAAGGTTTGCAAATTAGCAATGCCCAAAGAACCTCTGTACAAAATAATGGTTTAATTGTCCTTATATGTCACAGTGTTGTTCGTGCTGTCTTTGTTCTGGAACCCAAACTATAAAAGTGGCTGAAATGAGTTTTCTTTGCAAAGTGACAAGGCTTTCCCTTAGAGTTAGGGTGAGAAGCTTTGTCAACCGGAAGGGGCTCAGAGTAGATCCTTTGCTCTTCATCATCGAGAGGAGTCAGTTGAGGTGGCTCAGGCATCTGGTTAGGATGCCTCCTGGAGCTGGCCCAAGTGGCTGGGGAGAAGGAAGTCTGGGCCTCCCTACTTGGGCTGCTGCCCCCGTGACCCGACCCTGGAAAGGTGCATTAAAATGGATGGATGGATACAAACACTAGAAATTACTGTCAGAAAATCTGAAGTTTGCATCAATAATCTGATTTGGATAAACCATAAGAGATCACTCAACACAACATAAAAAATGGAGAACGCAAAAAATGAGGACATGTGTTAAATGTTTCGAGACATTGTTATTTATGGTGCGTCTTGAGAAGCCTGGAAATAACTTCAAATTCACAAATACAATGTTTCTTCATCAGAAATCAGGACAGTCATGAACTAAATCAAACTGAAACTTTCTCTGTAGCAACAGTCTCTGATTCCTGTTGTAAATCATCTTCATTATGAACGTGCTGCTGAATAGAGAAACCAGGTGAAAGTATTTTTTTTCACCAAGTCTAGTGATGCTTTGTTGATGAATGTAAAGACTAATGATGTTTTGATTTGGTGCATTTTTCCATTTCCAAAATTTTTACTAAAACTTGCTCTTAAGGATCTCATCAAAACAGTTAGATTCAAATCTGATGTTAATTTTAAGCACCGGTTTCCAAGTGAGAGGGGTTTTCCTCAGTTCTTCCACTCTTACCTGAACAGAACATCCTTTCTTCTTGAAGCCATCCTCCAATTTCCTCCAACTTCCCAGAGCCCAAGTATAATAACTTTAGACTTCCTCTCAAAAAATCCAAAACAATTTTAACATTCATTGTTTTTCTGGGGCACAGCCCAGATTTAGGAAAGGAAACGCAGAGCTGCATACTTTCTTGCAGAGAGAGAGAGAGAGAGAGAGAGAGAGAGAGAGAGAGAGAGAGAGAGAGAGAGAGAGAGAGAGAGAGAGAGAGAGAGAGACTGTGCACCATTTCTAGACCTTTTTCGGTTTTCTGTCACTTTGTTCTCCAGGTAATTCTGTATTTATCCCGTCCCGTTTCCATCTTCTGCCTAACAAGTGTTGGAATCACTCAGACTGGTCCTGACTAAAAAGTCCTCTCTGACCAAACCTACAATACAGAGGAACACTACATTCTGATATTGAGATTCAAAATCTGGAAGAGATGTAAGAACCTTTGAGTCTAAATAATCCCTCCTCATTTTAGTAAAGCTCTGACGCATTTGTTTAATTTCAGCTCCTATCAGACCTGCAGGGACACGCCCCCATCATCCCGTGCTGTTGCTCCAGCTTCTCCACCCCACTTCTCCCCTCTCCTCCTCATGCTGCTTTATTTCTCTGTCACCATTACTTCCACCTCAGAGCCAAAGATGTCTTGGACGTATGCAACCCTCCTGGCTCTGCTCGCTGTGCTTCTTGCACTCAGCTGTGAGTCTGATGAAGGAGAATTAAATAGTATTTTTAGAAAGCAGTTTGTTTTCTTTGCACCAAAATTTAATTTAGACTTCACATTTTGTCCTCAAACGCAGCGTCTCCAGAGGCCGAGTCTGCAGCTGTGCGCCGGAGAGCAGGCAGAGCTAAAAGTCCCCAAGGTGAGGAGTCACATCAGGTGTACTTGTGTCTGCTCTGCAGCCTCTTTCTCTATGGTGAACCTGCTTCCACTGCAGATCCAGCCAGGAGGATCTTCATGAAAGAGTCTGAAGCCTCAACCTTCTTCAGCAAGCGCAGCAGGCGGACCACAAAATCTCAGGATGAGGTCGACGGTGAGTTCCCGGCAGACTGTGGTCAGCTGAGCTGTTTGTACAGCTCGTGGTCGTGTGACTGTGGTCACCGTGGGCCAGTTTACACACATTAGATCTAACTGCAGCACAGTTCTGATTCTGTGGGGTTTGGTCTGAGCAAGAAACACTTCAAGGTCAATTAACATTCTTGTAAAAAATATAAAACTTCTTGATTATTGTATAAATTACAAGATTCTTCCCCAGGAGACAAGGCTGACCGTTTGATGAAGCACATCCTTGTCTCCATTGATATTTTCAAGAATGTTTGAAATAAACCTTTCAATAAATGAACTTAGATTACATTTAAATTTCTCTGAATAAATTAAATGTAAAAACTACATCATCACTACTTTTCACTAAAACTAGGGAAACTCAATATTAGCTGTTTTAAACAATATCTAATGTTGTCGACTCTTACTTTCCGATCCCGATATACGCTGTGTCCCCCTCTCACCCAAAAGAGAAACTAAAATATTTTACGTTACTGGCATCAAATATTTCTTATCATGCATGCTTACATTTTAAAATAGATCAGTAAAAGATTTATTTAATTTCCAACAGCAGCTGAATCTCATTCTCCCTAAGTAATGTTTTTTTCTTATTATTATGTAAATTGCAGCGATGGTGATAAAACATTTATAAAGATCTTTAGATAAGAGCAACAAGGCTCGGGTGAATATTCTTATTTTAGTTTTAGTTGTTTGTCACCACACAGGGCAAATTTCTACTTCACAAGCTGTGCCAAATAAACTAAAACAGCTCAGAAACCTTACCTCAGATTTCTCATATTAGGGTATTTTGAGAGAGAGGAGCAGAAGCTGTTTCACTGTGCATCACTATTTTGATGTAGTCTGTGTGTGGTGTGTAACTGAAGTTTCAGATATTACATTTTAATGTCATTATCAGCTGATATCAATGTTGGACCGATAATATCGAACATCCCTCTAATGCTAACTTCTGAAAAGGAAACAGATTCCTGTGCAAGAGCCATATTTGACTGTTTTGGGGGAAATAAACATGCCACCCTTTGCCCTTCATTAGATATTAGAATGAAAATAATCTACCAACTAAAGGTAGATGGATGTGTTGTGTGCCCTGCGGTGGACTGGCTCTCTGTCCAGGGTGTATCCCGCCTGATTGCCCATTGACCGCTGGAGATAGGCGCCAGTCCCCCCCACGACTCTACATGGACAAGCAGGCTCAGAAAATGGATGGATGAATGGATGGATGGATGGATGGATGGGTGTGTTGTGCAGCATGGGACCGTCTCATCCCAGGAATCTTTAATCTCATGTTTGTAAAAGAATTCATAAATCTCTTCAGGAAAATAATTATTAGCATTATATAAACAATTAGGCCAGTTATAACCAATCCTGTCCTGGAGGCCTGCCCCCCACATGTTTTAGTTGTTTTCCTGCTCAAACACATCTGAGTCAATGGCTGAATTGACTTTTCAGCAGCTCATCAAGCTCCATGGCTGCTCTGAACATTAACCCTCTGGAGGCAGGCGTTGCAGATTAGCAGCGTTAAAACCTACCTACCTGGTTACTCCACATACGTATTTCATGAGCATTTTTTTAACTCAGAAGTTCCCCTGAAGGACTCAGTTGTTTGTCCACAAAGTAAAAAACAAATCCGTCAGAAGGATTTCTTCTGATAAAGCTTCCATTGTCCTTTTTTCTGAAGATGAAGACATTTGGTGGCTGAATTATTTAGTTTTCTTGCAAAAATATTCATATTTTTCCTTCACGGATTCTTCGATAGAGACCTGTTAAGTTGCACATCTGTTGCTGTCTGTTCACGGTGATCTGACTGTTTTTGATGCTGGTAGCAGCCAGCATCTGTTGAGTGTTTTCTGTACTCAGACTTGTTCCTCTGCTGCAGCAGGAGCCAGGGGGCTGCATGGACCTCGCACGCACACACAAACGCACACACACACACACACACGCACGCGCACACATGCACACACACACACGGACGCATGTCTGTCAGCTGTCCCCAAGCAGCCATGCCCTTTGCCACTTTTAAAAATCTCAACGACACCTTCTCGTGCAGCTTCACAAGCAGGAACACAAACACCACTGCTGCTGATTCTGAACTGAAGCTGTGTAAGGTCTGTGTTTCTGGCAACAAACTGACATTTTCAGCAGTCAAAGGAGGGGCACAGCGAACACAAAGCAGAGTGCAGATCAGGACGAGTGAGTGGGTGAGCAGTTGGGAGATGAATGTGGAATGTGGAGAAATGTTGCCAGACCAGATAGGGGTCAGAAAAGTGGGACAAACAAGCTGCTCAGCAGAGATCCTCCTGCAGAACACCTCTCCTCCTGCAGGCAGGAGCAGCTTGTTCTAGAGAAATACAGAAACCGAGATCAAGTGACGATTCTGAGACTATTAAACTTGAACATGACTCCAGTGGTAAGCTCCATTCCATTTTAACTTCTGTGCACATTCATGATCATTTAAATTAAGCCAAAGGATAAAGTCAATAATCCAAAAATACTTTATTATGATCATCACCCATTAGAGGTCAACTGTGCTCCACTGTGTTTGCAGCGGAGCAGAGGTTAGTTCTGGCTGCAGACAAGCAGAGGAGAGAGTCGTACGAGGAGAAGAGGAATGCATTTGAGAGCTACGCTGAGAAGGAAAATGACGGTACAAGAACACTTTACGTCTGATGCATGTGAGAGGAGAGTTGATTTACTGTTCACGATCCTCTCTTCATCCTCCAGAGCAGAATGAGAGGACCAGAGAGAGCACCGAGCAGTGGAGGGAGTTCCACCATGATGGGATGCATCCTCCCCACGAGCACAACCATCACACCGTCTGAGCAGCAGGAGTTGGAGATGCTGGAGGAAGACAAGCTCAGACAAATTATAATTAACCAGATTTTTATTGCTATAAAATAAGATTTTTATTCTTTTGGTAACTTCTTCCAATTGTTCTTTTGATATGAGGGCGAAAGCAAATGAAAAATACTTTAACCCTTTGATGCATAATGGTCACTACAGTGGGCAGGTACTCAAAATTATTTAATTTTGCTATTAAGCACAGCTGCATTTGAGCCCCTCCATTTGCACTTCAGTAAGTCAAGCCAACATATTTCATGTTCAGAATGCACGCTGTCCACTGAGGTGGACATGTAATAAATTATTTGTAAATGAAATGTTACAAAAAATAAGTAAATATGAAATTTGTTTCATTCACACCTAAATATGAATGAAAAAATTGTTAAAGAAATCATGGTTGAAGATTTCATAATTCATGCATCAAAGGGTTAAATTTAATCTTTTTTTTTAAATAAATAATTTGGTGGGGGAATAAATCACCTTTGTTGTAGAAAAAAGCTGTAATAAATATGCAGCAAAATAATTATAAGCTTTCTCAATGAGCTAAAGCTTTTATTTCTGGGATTTATCACGGTAAGAACTAATTAAAAGGTTATTTTCCCCACATGTTGGCAGTTTTAGGTTAGGGTTCAATCATGAAGTGATTTAAGGCTGAAGTTGATCATTTCATCACAAAACTAAGGAATATTTACATTAAAAGTACCACACAAATATGCTTTTGTCACTCCAAGACAGATAAAAGGTCAAATAAGACATTTAAAAGTATTTTTAACTCAACTTTAAGCTGATTACAAGGACCTAAAGATGATTTTAAAAACCATGATTCAGAAACAATTTGTAATTTATAAACTGAAAGAAAACAACCAAAATTAAATGTATGTAGCCAAACTATACTATCCTCTTTGAGCAGCAATACTTGATTTTCAACAGTTCCAGTGAGTGTTAAATGAGTCCTTGTAGCGTGGATAATCTACATACTGGGTTTTAACGCTGTTTGCTATCAGCTTTGTTAGATCCTGAGAATGATCAATCAAATTAGCACATGAAGCTTATATAATGTATAAATATCCAGGATACTTATATAATCGATATAAGTTCATACACCAACCTGCTTGGTCTGTATTTAATCCAAAGATTAATATTTAATTCAAGAGAATTAAATCTAATAGCAAAAGTTTATTTATTGAATCAGAAGTTAGGAATCTTTGCTTGTTCAATAACCAAGAATATTTATACCATTCTGTGTTTCATTTCAAAGAAGAGGCAGAGTTTAAAAGTTAGGAATTTATTACTAACAATTTTAAACTTGACAATTTGAAACAAAAATTAAAAATGACAATTCATGGATGACAATTTATATGACCAGCTTTGATATTAAACTTGGTATCAAAAGCTTTACCTGTGTCTGGATGGAAAGCCAAAATGAAATGAGAGCTTGGATGCTTGAATAGATTCTCAGAAGTTTTCTGTCAGAGAGAGGAACTCGTTCTGGGTGAATGCTTGTTTTGTCAGTCGTTACTTAGAGAGAACAGCATCAGACACAATCTGTGTGCCACCTCACCCATTCAGACGACCCTTGTGTGGATCCGGAGGTCAAGGGAGGATGTTGTCAGCCTCAGGGTACTGAGTCCAGTAGCGAAGACTCGAGTAAAACCGACTCTCTGGTCCAAAGATGTTGCAGGGTACACAGTGTCGAGCGTCTGGCTTAACTCTGAAGGAGTTTCTCGTCTTCTTCGTCTTCGTCTTCGTCTTCCTCCGCTTATCCGGGTCCGGGTCGCGGGGGCAGCATCCCAATTAGGGAGCTCCAGGCCGTCCTCTCCCCGGCCTTGTCCACCAGCTCCTCCGGCAGGACCCCAAGGCGTTCCCGGACCAGATTGGAGATGTAACCTCTCCAACGTGTCCTGGGTCGACCCGAGGGCCTTCTGCCGGCAGGACATGCCCGAAACACCTCCCCGGGGAGGCGTCCAGGAGGCATCCTGACCAGATGCCCAAACCACCTCAACTGGCTCCTTTCGATCCGGAGGAGCAGCGGTTCTACTCCGAGTCCCTCCCGAATGTCCGAGCTCCTCACCCTATCTCTAAGGCTGAGCCCGGCCACCCTACGGAGGAAACTCATTTCGGCCGCTTGTATCCGCGATCTCGTTCTTTCGGTCATTACCCAAAGCTCATGACCATAGGTGAGGATTGGGAAATAGATCGACCGGTAAATCGAGAGCCTGGCTTTCTGGCTCAGCTCCCTCTTGTTATGGGAGGGAGGGAGCTGAGTTTCTCGTCTTAACTCTCAAAATCAATAACTCTGAAGGAGTTTTGCGTCAGCTGGTTACAGATGGGTTTATTCGAAGCTATTCTATCGGCGTGACAGAACAGCAGGTGGAGGCTTCAGGGCCGCCGACCCTTATCCTCAGGATGGTGGTTGGTTCAAGAACTGAAGTTACAGCTGCGGAAGATAGTTTCAACAAAACCCTCACAAAACGCCCTCTCAGAGCAAGAAAGCTTTGGTCATGAGTCAAAGACATGTGATGGCAGTTTAACTTTTACCCTGGATAAGCCCTCTGCGTTGGATGGATAAAGTGGAGGATGACCTTCTGGTTTACTGAACCACATCCCTTGATTATAAACAATTATTATTATCCAAAGAATAATAAGTCATTCCATTAATTGAATGCATTTATAATGAACCATGATGATTATTGTTGATAATTATAATAAACAGTAATAAAGTAAAAAATCTATTTAAATTATTATTTAAAATTATTATTGTGAAACTTGAAGTGTCCTTCATTCTGGGACGGAACGGCAGCAGATAAAGATGATTTTCAGCAGACATCACGGCTCCTGGCATGTTTAATCTGTGGGGCAAAGTTACAGTCGACCCAGCTTGACCCAGCTGGGAAAATGTGACCTTTGTCACAAATTAGAGGCCAATCATGACGCTGCATCCTTATGTGTGTGGAGGTTTAGCAATTGTTTACACAGCAAACTGATTTGCTTAACACTTCTGCACCATGCAGACAGATATTTAAACATTTCAGAAAATCCTAAAATAAACACACAAACCCGAGCAAATGTGGTAGAGGCTTGTATTTACAGTAAGTAGATGCACCACATTCTTAAATAATTCATGATGGCAAAGCCCCTGGTTCTGGCCATGCACCGCAGGAACAGTATCTTGTTTTTTTCCACATTCATGTTGAGCTTGAAGTTAAGTAGAAGAACCACAGAGGAAATACAGACAGATCTCTTCTCTGTGTGAACGCAGATATGGACAGTCTTCCTGCTAAATTCAACAGGCTGATATGAAAGCACAGTGATGACAGAGTGCCTGAGCTGATCTCAGAGCAGACACGTCAAGAGTGGAAGCAGCTGTACACCAACAATCCCACTGAAGCAGAGTATTTTTAACCAGGATCCCTTAGCATTCATTAGTCATTTAACTTTCTCTTTTTTCCGGGTGGGATTCAAGGTTTTGAAAAATTGGATGTGGCGACTTTAAAGTAAGCATCTCTCCTTGTGGCGGTTGGACGAAGCGGGTGTTTGGTTCACTTCCTGTTCAGATCCCTGAGAACTGGTCATAAAGCAACAACCTGTGGCGCCCTCCTGTGGTCAAAGAGGACTCCACAGTCACATGAAAAAGAAAACGCTAAATAAAACAGCCAAAAAACCAACTATTACATATTTATATATCTGACCGTACAATAGTTTTTAGTCGAGTCTCATTAAACATTTACACATTTCTTACAAAAGTCATAATATAGTATAAGAAAATAAATATTTCAGTAGATGAGTAGAATGCACTGGCCGGGCGGTGACAGCCGTGGCACATGGTCCCACTGTAACGTTCACACACTAAACAGCAAAGACACAACACATCCTGTTGGAAGTTATGACGGTGTGCGGCAGAAACCACAGCAGATTGACACGAGCTGTCCAAACAACGACACGTCCAGAGTGTAGAAGATAGCACGAGTTTTCACCACAGCAGGAAGCTTATGTTTCACTTGACTCCACGCAGCAGATCCAGGCAGGATATTTACACAAGGCATACAGCAGGACGTCCCATCAACACTCACACGAGCTTCAGTTCCCTTTTAGTCTAGGGCAGGAGTCTCAGATAACCATCATTTCCACAATAACCACGTCAGGTGGAGTTTCCCTTCCTGTGCAGGTCAGAGAGGGACGAAGCAGTGGGCGCCGCTCTGAGCCAGAATAAATAGAACCGAGCCAGTGCTCCTAAAGTCCTCGCAGATTGTGCAGAAACTGACGGGAGGCTGCGGGACGGGCAAACTGAGTAACCACGTTGAAAGACGAGGCCTGGGGTGTTTAATTTTAACCCCCTGGTCTTAAAGCTCCGTGGTCTCCCAGCTGACCTCCCGCGGAACCTGGCGTCATTTAGTCCCAGTGTGGATGACTGTGACAGTGGAGGGGCGGGGCCGGGTGAGCTCGGGCACCACCGGAGGGTCGTCTTGTGGAACAGGACCGTCAGAGTCCTGGTTACACGGTTTAACGGCAGAGGGAAGAGGAGCTATGGGAGGACCTGGGAGACAGAAAAGACAGCTTCACAACAGAGTCAAACGCAAGCACCTGAAAATTATAGTAAACTGTGCTACATTCAGTCAAGAAATTTATTAAAAAAAACTTTCTTCAAAGAGAAGATGAGGCTATAGCAGGTACTTATAAACGAACCCAGCTGTTTAGATCAAGTTAATTATTTAATTTATTTACCTTTCAGAATAAATTTTTCTTTTTTAGAAGTTAGAAACTTAATTATTAAAATTATTACTGAAAAACTGTAATCAGATCAGGTTTTTTTACTCCTGCAGAACATTTTGCTAATTTGACTTTAAGTTAAAAATGAAAGATTCACAGAACAGCTTAACTTTTAATTGTCATCATTAAATGGATAGTTCAGATTTGCAGTTCATGCAAAGGTGATTTCATGAAACTCCAATTAACTGCAAATTTCCCAGTACATTGTTACATTTGTTGAACACTCAATCAATACATTTGCAATGGATTGTGGGTAATACTCGTAAGCAATGCAGACTTGGGCAAAGAGCAGACCAAGAGTGCAAAATAAACTTCAATACTTGGAAATGTACACCCCTTGCACCCCTGGTTGGAAATGCGCAATTGAAGAGCCTAAAGGTGGAAGTGTGAGTATTGTAAGAACAATAAGATGTTTAAAAAAACAAAGCAGATCCAAGCACCCCCCACCCCCACCCCCACCTGGAACGCAGTGCTGATAAAGTCAAATGAAGCAGAAATAAAATCTCTGGCTGCTGCTTTCTAAGCTTAACGCTTTGAGGAACATGAATGGGTTTAAAAGATTGCTGAACTCAGACTTGTTCCTCTAAAAGCCAAACATGTTTGAGTTGGTCTCAGTTGGCATCTGGAGTCTATCGCGTCAGACCCGTGCCACAACCCGTGCACGCGCATTGGGTCCACAGCGCGCGTGTGAACGGGACTCGCGAGCGAAAATATACATGGCGAGAGGTCATTTGTGCACTGAGAGGGAGCAAACTGTGTCTGTGAGCGCACAAGGATGTGCACAAGTGACAAACCTGCGTGCGCGCGTTGCCAACGAGCACACGGCAGAGGAAAACGTGCGCGCGCGGCAGCCTCTCTGCGCGCTCGGTTTCTAATTCTGCTCGCTCGGCTGTGAGGAGTTTTGGCACTCTGGAGGCGTGGCCTGTGGCAGATCTTCCCTGTCCTCTGATTGGTTAGTTTACCCCGCACTTTACTCTCTACCTATCTATATAAAAAAATCGGAGAGTCAGCAGTTGCTGTCATAGCTCAGCTGGGAGAGCGGGTGACTCTCACTCTGGAGGATCCAGGTTTGAGTCCGGCCAAGGAACTTAAGAGTTGATGTCATATTATTCTTTCCTAATTCCTGTGATTTGGTCTCCTTTCTTATTACAGCCCACCACTTCCAGTCTGGGTTGTAACAATCTGCAGACAGATTTCTGAGTATCTCCTCCTTTGGTACACAGATCCTCACTGAGCCAAGTACTGTGAACAAATAGTTTCTCCGTGATATTATCCAGCAAGGTCTTGTTTTTGTCAAAACAAGGGTGAGGTAATGAAAAAATAGAAATATTTCAATAAATTAACATTAAAATTATTTATATGCATAATTAAAATAAAAAAAAAACATGTTTTGAAATATATAAAGTGCACCAAACTTGACTCAGCCCATTCAACAATTCTAAATGGACAATTGTGTAACTCATCAATTAATTATTTGAAAGGATAATTTGTCAATTAAATGCTGAAAAAAATAAACAATACATTAATGAGGCAAGAACTTTTTAAACTTGAACATACCTACACCCACAAGTCTATTTTTACCTGGTTAAAACCATCTAGCTTATGTGCACTTTTTAAAACACTGCCCAGCAAACATTCGGACGTTTAATGACAGTTGAACGGTCACAACTGTAAAATAATATCACAGGAATTAGGAAAGAATAATATGACATCAACTTTATGTTCCTTGGCCGGACTCGAACCAGGGTCCTCTAGAGTGAGAGTCACCCGCTCTCCCAGCTGAGCTATGACAGCAACTGCTGACTCTCCGATTTTTTTATATAGATAGGTAGAGAGTAAAGTGCGGGGTAAACTAACCAATCAGAGGACAGGGAAGATCTGCCACAAGCCACGCCTCCAGAGTGCCAAAACTCCTCACAGCCGAGCGAGCGGAATTAGAAACCGAGCGCGCAGAGGCTGCCGAGCGCGCAGAGAGGCTGCAGCGCGCGCACGTTTTCCTCTGCCGTGTGCTCGTTGGCAACGCGCGCACGCAGGTTTGTCACTTGTGCACATCCTTGTGCGCTCACAGACACAGTTTGCTCCCTCTCAGTGCACAAATGACCTCTCGCCATGTATATTTTCGCTCGCGAGTCCCGTTCACGCGTGCGCTGCCATGTATATTTTCGCTCGCGAGTCCCGTTCACGCGCGCGCTGCCATGTATATTTTCGCTCGCGAGTCCCGTTCACACGCGCGCTGTGGACCCAATGCGCGTGCACGGGTTGTGGCACGCTTTAAACGCCATAGGAGTCACTCACAGTTCTTCAGAGAGAGCGGGGCACAGTCCACGGACTGGCTCTTGGCTGGAGCTCGGCTCTGAGGGTTCGGCACCGAGTTGGTGCTCTGGATGCTGCTTCCAAAGCTGGAGCCCAGCTGCAGACGCCTCATGTGTCGGATCACAGCCGTGGCGTTAAACGCTTGCTGCATGGGCAAAGAACACATGGTTAAAACACACACACACACACACACACACACACACACACACACAAAGAAAGGTAAATGCGACTGCGCTCACCCTCCATTTGCTTTTGGCAAAGTTTTTCCGCATCTGTCGGCTGACTGACTCGTGGATATTCTTGCAGAGGGCCGTGTCTCCAGCAATCCTGAATTAAAACAAGACACTGTGGTAACCACTGACACATACCAAAACAGCACCAGATGATTTATAGCTGCTCCTGTCACGCCCGAGGAATCATCCTCATGCTGTTTTCACATTTGCTCCCTTCACTTCTGTTTGTTTGGCTACAACGCTGCTGATCGATGGGCCTCTGCTGCTGCGGGACCCGTTTTCACATTCATCATAATATCTCTTTATGAAAGCCTGTCAGTGAAAGTCATTCCTCTTCATTACGACATCTGTTACCGCCGTCACACGCGCCTATCAGAGGGCCCACCTGCCCACGACCCAAAATGCCCATTACTGCCTAACAGACTTATCGCCACCTCAGCTGGAGACGCCGACCCACGCAGGCTCAGCCTCATTAGAGCCAACACGGGCTCGAGAAGACATCTCAATTGTTCATTAGGCTTAGAAATTCTTCAAGGATCCTTCAGGAGATGAGCTGCTAATTGGCAGCCATTTATTCAGCAGATTTGTCTCTGCAGAGGTGAGCTCGTGTATCGGCGCCATGGTGACAGATGACAGTAGGAGGACAAGCTCGCCATGACAAATGCATGAGCCCGGCAATCTGCGTCACACTGCTGTGTAAGCGCGGCCCGGTGTGTGTTTCCCTGTGATTGAAGGGCTGTGGCGCAGTGTGGTGCTGAGTTCTCCTCACCAGGGGTGCTCCAGAGCCTGGTCACACGTGAATCTCTTCTCTGGGTCCTTCTCCATCAAAGAGCTGATGAAGTCTTTGGCTGTGGAGGGAAGTGGAAAATAGTCAAGAGTGCATCCAGCTGAGGAGATCTTCTTCCCTTTGCAGCACTCAAATGTGTAAATTTTAATCTGATGCTTTGCTTTACGTGTCCTGCAGCTCAGTGGGACAAACATTTGTGGATAAAATAAGGAAATTTAACGTTCTTAGACTGCAGGAGCTATTTATGTGTCTTTCAGAGAAGAAACAACAAATGTTGCACAACAAGTAATCCATTTTAACATCTAATGGATTCAACATCTGTAAATAATTTAAAATACACTGAGACTTTTGTCTGCTATTGAACAACAAACAGGTTAGACTGAATTCAGTGTTGTTTTTATTCTATGTTTGATTTTTGTTCAATTCATCACCATAAAATATTTTCTCTGTTTTCTTCATAAATCTGAGAAAACGGTCAGAGTGGGAGCAGACTGTAAAAGGTTTTGTTGCTCCAGCGAATGAACAACAAAACATGGAGCCAATTAATGTTGGCTCAACTGACAGCCTTCAAAAGCGAGCCTGTTGCTGATCGTAGCGACAGTTTTCTCAGCGGCCAAATCTCTCTTCATTCATGCTGAATCAAACGAGCAAGAGCAATCGAGAAAATTAAACAAACAGATAATTTCAAAATAATAAATAAACTATATGTTTCTACTATTTGCTTGACAATCATTGTAATGTTTGTCTAATTTATTTTATCAGCCAACTAGAAAATGAAAAGAAAATCTTGAGTCTCTACATAATTGTACTTATTGTCAACTTTTTTTCTAGAAATATAAGAAGCCATTTAGAAAACTGTTGTTACAATAATCCGATCCCCAGGTTTTGATCAAGGGGCAAACTCCAAGTGAAGCCAAGGCAGAAGCGATATAAATTGCAGTTCCCTTCTCATCCAATAGGGGCTGGCTCTAGGAAGGAGCAAGTTCCTGTTAGCTCCCATGCTAAAAACGCCAACTTCACAGCAGAAAGAAACATGTTTACAGCTTGGTACAAAAAAAACTTTTGGGTTTACCAGGTTACGTTTTCCATCATGACAGCTCTGAGGGGGATGATTTTTTAATGTAATTAAAGTTTGAAATTATGAATACTTAGGGGTGTGCCTATTTGATTGACAGGTAGCAGAAGGGGCCGTCAATGTTACCATTATCGGCTTGCCTCTTACTTTCTCAAGGGAAGACCTAACCCCTAATCCACGACTCTGCCTCAAATAGAAAATATTAATCTACAGGTTGATCCAAACACGCCGTGGCGTGGAAAATGTTCTTATATGTTTAATGGCAGATGACATAAACAAACTGTGACCTTTGAAGTTTCGAGGGATTTTGTGATCTTGCAAGTCCAACTAGGAGGAAGGCGGAGATGCCGTGCTGTGTGTGAGACGCTCCCCAGCGTAGACTGACATGGCCACAAAGAACGCGAGTAAACCGTCCCACTGCCAATCCGTGCCACTGATGTCTTCGGTGTAGATTTGGGGTGAGCCTCAACCTCACGTTAAAAATGTAACAGCCTAGAAGGCGGCACAGTTTTCTGGCTGCACGGTTTTTCTGGGCAAAAGCACCCGCAACCTTTATCAGTTTCAGGTAAATCAGTTCGCTCTTGGCTACACTGACTCATAGTTCGATGGGTGTCAATCATCTGCCCCCAGCCTCACAGCCCCACTCTCAGCTCCACCTCTTTGCCTATTTGTGCTTTTTACAGCAGTAACGAGACATGTGGCCAAGATGTTTGTGAAGGGAACCGCCCACTGGGCTTCAATTCAGCTCTTCAGCGCAGATTCTCTGACAATCTTCTATATGCAGTCTAAGGTTTTGATACATAAACTGCTTAAGACACGTAAAGAGAACCAATATCTAAAGAAATGTTAACACTGCTGCTCGTTGGGGTCACCATGGTAACCACACACCTGTAAGGTACAAATACACTCATAAGCACAGACCTATGTAAAGTCCAATCACCTGTGAGCTGTTTGAACTTTGAATGATATTTTTATTGTAATGTTTTCTGGTCTGTGTCACCAAAATCTCGTTGTTTGTGTGGAAACTGTGCTTCAGAGCTTCTGCTCCTTTAATAATTAAAGTTTGCTGCTCCTCCATGTTGAGAGGAGCCAGTTGAGGTGGCTCATGCATCTGGTCAGGAGATGCCTCCTGGACGCCTCCCTGGTGAGGTTTTCCAGGCACGTCCAACTAGGGGGAGACCCAAGAGAAGACCCAGGACACGCTGGAGGGACTATGTCTCTCGGCTGGCCAGGGACTGCCTTGGGATTCCTCCGGAGGAGCTTGCCCAAGTAGCTGGGGAGGGGGAAGTCTGCGCCTCTCAGCTTAGGCTTCTGCCCCCGTGACTCGACTCCTGATTAGCGATGGATGGATGGATGGATGGATGATGCCAGAAACATTTATAAGTTTTAAGCTTTTCAAAAAGCAAAACATTTTAAAAAAACTCACCAAAACAGATCTGGATGGCTTTGAACAAAGGTAAAACCTGCTCTTGGTTTTTAAATAATTGTTTCTTTCATACTAAATGTGGTGTGCAGTTCTATTAAGGCACCATGTTACCATGGCAACAGAGCCCTGCTGAACCTTTGGTCCCCTCAGTAATTTATTTTTCCAGTTTTGTGGCTTAAAAAATGGGTATTGAAAGCAGCTCGAACAGATTTAGAGAACCTTGTTTTATGAGGTGAAATGTTATCTCATCACAGACACACCGCTCACCAGAGTCTGATATGTCATCCCAATAAGGAGCGTCAAACTCATAGTCGACTTTGAGAATCTGCTCAAACAACTTGGAGTCATTCTCGTCGTAGAAAGGAGGGTATCCACAAAGCCTGGGAAGTTCAAGCATTACACGTTAGTCCATGTGACAGTATGCATCATTAAACGTCTCAATTCTGAAAGCGTCTGCTGCGATCGGATCTCATCTACTTGCTGTCTGATGCATTTTTTCTGCAACAGCAGACGGCTCAGACGGATTATCGGGAACGCCCACAGCGTTAATAAATCCTTTCTCACAACATATACATGAAGCAAAACCAAACTCCATAGTTTGCATTTAGGTTTTGTGTTTGATTCTAAAACATCAAATACAAAGCACAGTGATGGAGTAATAACCATGGATTTTGTCCTTGGCTCCTAACAATTGACTTCACTTTCATTAAGCTGGCAGCTTATGCAGCGCATTCTCATGGAAGCCTCACGGGCTCTGTGATATAGAAGCAGCAGATGTTAGCATCCCTCGGGCTGCCGACAGGCTGCCCCTGCACTCACCAACGGGATTTCATTTAGAAGCTGGATGTGTTTTTGTTTAATTGCTTAATTATTTTTTAACTCATTTGAGCTTTTCCAGGAGAAGATGCTTGTTTCTCACTTTATTTATAGCAAAATAGTTTAATCAGACAAATTTGTGTTGGTTTTAGGCACTCACAGAATATAAGCGATGACGCCGATGGACCAGCAGTCCACAGCTTTGCTGTAGGGCTTCTGTGCTAAAACTTCAGGAGCTGCAAAAATTCATATGTGTTTCGTGGATTAGAAAAGAAGGTGCATGAAAGGAAACAATGCAAACTTTTCACCAAGAATCATCTTAACACTGAAATCTAAAAAAATATCTTTGATAAATCTGCAGTGAACCCAGGCAAAAATACTAGTAAATGATCAATAATTAAATATCCTCAAAACAATGTTACCATCAAAGGCACTCTGAAACATTGGAATGGGGATCTCTTTACCCCGCTTTTATTTTGATAGGCTCCTCCTTCCATTTAACCGTATTAATTTACATCTTAACTATAAATTTAGTTTAAAAACACCATATTACAACATTTAGGTGGAGGGATGTGTACAGCGGGGCAGAAATAGTATTTGGCAACTACCGATTGGGCAAGTTATCCTACTTAAAAAGATGAGAGAGCTGTAATTTTCCCATGAGAGACAGCATTTTTTTAAAATGCACGTTGTCAAAATGTAAAAATGACGTTATCTGATTTTTTTTTTCAAGAATATTTTTGTATAACTGTGCAGAAAATAAGTATTTTGCACTGACAAACAAGCAAGAATTCTGGCCCTCACAGTTACTTTTTTAAGAAACTCTGCTGTCCTCAACTCACTTCCTGTAATATTGTCACCTGTTTGAACTCATTGTCTGTATAAAAGACATCTGTCCACACTTTCAACCAGTCAGACTCCAACCATGGCCAAGAGCAGAGATGTGTTTACGGACACCAGAAACATGATCGTACACCTGCACAAGACTGAGCCAATCTACAATAGGCAAGCCGTTTTGTGAGAAGAGATCCACTGCTGGAGCAAATATTAGAAAATGAAATAAATATAAGATTAATGGCAATCTGCCTCAACCTGGGGCTCCATGCAAGATCTCACCTTGTGTGCTACAGACGATCTTAAGAACGGTGAGGAAACAGCCCAGAACTAAAGGCCCCCTGCTTAAGTCAGCATATGTCCAGGCCTGTCTAAACTTTGCCAGAGACTATCTGGATGATCCAGTGGAGGATTGAGAGAATCTCGTCTGGTCATATGAAACCGAAATCTAACTCTTTAGTATAAACACAACTCACCGTGTTTGAAGGGGAAGGAATGCTGAATTGCATCCCGACAACAACATACCCACTGTGAAGCACGGGGTGGAAACATTATGCTTTGGGAGTGCTTTTCAGCAAAGGGGACAGGACGACTGATCTATATTAAGGAAAATATTATTAAGGCCATGTATCGTGATATTTTGGGCAAAATCTTCTTCCATCGGTGAGAGCATTGAAGATGAAACGTGGATGGGTCTTCCAGCATGACAATGAACCCAAACATTAAAAGCATTTCATGAATATTGAGTGACCTAGCCAGTCTCCAGATCTCAATCTAACAGAAAATCTTTGGAAAGAGTTGAAAATCCATGTTGCCCAGCGACACCCCCAAGAACATCACTGCTCTGGAGAAGATCTGTATGGAAGAATGGGCCAAAATACCAGGCACAGTGTACGCAAACCTGCTGAAGACCTACAAGAAATGTTTGACTTTTGTCATTGTCAACCAAGGTTATATTACAAAGTATTGAAGTGAACTTTTTTATTGACCAAATACTTACTCTCTGCACTATTCATGCTGTACAAATACTTTCTTTTAAAACAGGACAGAGTCCTCATCTTTTTAAGTGGTGAAAACTTGCACAATCTGTGGCTGACCAGTAACTTTTGGTGCCACAGTATTTGACTCAACATTTATTTTAAACAATATAATTTGGATTTTGTCAAACTCTTTTTACATAACATCATCATTTTATCAAAAGGACAACTAAAAGTTCCAAACCCTGTTTTTAGGAGCTAAATGTGGCAGAAGATTAAAGATATATCTTAAAACATAGCTGTTAAAAAGCTAATTGCAGATAAACATAGCTGAAAATATGAACTATAGTCAAATTTTGCTTATAAATTGCTAAAGGGGCCAAATGTAGCTGTTACACTCCCACATTTGATAAAATGCAGCTTCTTACCTTTTAATGTCTTTTAGAATTGTGGCCTTGTCATGCACGAGCCTACAATTTAACTGGGTTATATCATCTAATAAACATCCATTTTTCTCAGAGACCATTTCCACAAGTCTCAGAGCTTCAAGGGCACCCTCACCCACGTATCCAGGAGTCCCACAGGCCGTGGCCATCACTCCACCCGTGCCCTCCATCTTGGACAGGCCAAAGTCACTAATCATGATCTTTGAGTCGTCATCGGGGCTGAAGTAAAGCAGGTTCTCAGGCTGAAAATGAAATGATAGAACAGTCAAAAAGGTCAGTGCACACTCGTCAGTGATATGCTTCTCTTTTTTTCCTCCTGTGTAGAATAATGGTAAATCATCTGGGGTCTCATTTATCAAACATGGCGTAGAATCCTTACTAAAACCGTACTTAAGCTCAGCCAAAAAAATATATACTTAAGCCAAGTAGGTTTGTGATCTATCAAACATGGAGTACGCACAGCTGCACGCAACTATCTATCAGAAACTATCTAGAAAGGTTCTCAGCTGCTTTTTAGTCACATCCCGCCGTCACCACGCCCACTTACTGCCATAAATAGTTAATGCAAAATGCCTTGTAGATCTCATGCATATACATAAGCCGGCTATTGCAGCGCTCCGCCAATGACGATGGAGACCGTAGATCAAGGCAGATCAAGGAAGCACAATTTCACAGAAGCAGAAATTGAGGTACTTGTGGGTGAGGTGGAGAAAAGAAAGGAAGTGCTTTTGCAAAACAAATAAGAGAAAATCCACGGAGTAGCACAGCGTTGCTGAAGCCGTCAATGCTGAGTTCTTCTGAGAGACCTGTGGTGGATATAAAAAAATAGTCCGATCAGGATTCAATCCCCAGACTCCCGGATGAAAGTCACGCGCGCTAACCAGTCAGCCAAACGGAGATCTCCCTTGTCCAAGTAGCCAGGGCGTATGATCAACCGGTCACAGTGACAGGACACACACTGTCACAGACGCATGACATTCTGTCTCAATCTGTCCCCCTGCTGATATTCTGCATTCTGTATTCTGCGCTTCAGGCTGTGTGTGTGTGTGTGTGTGTGTGTGTGTGTGTGTGTGCGTGCGTGCGTGCGTGCGTGTGTGTGTGTGTGTGTGTGTGTGTGTGTGTGCGTGTGTGGGGTCTTGTTCTGTGTGCGTATGAAGCAGTACAAGTGGTAATGCTGCAGGATTTCATAATTGTATCCTTCTCAGCAGCAGCACTGCAGGTGCTCTCCATGTCCAACATGTGCGTAAGCCAGGTCCTTAGTCAACTTAAAGTTGCGCACATTTTTCCGCTAAATTTTCTTTCATAAATCCCAAAGTTTGCGTGGAAAGTTGCTTACGCAGTTTTCCGACCCCGTTTTGTGCGTAAGCAAGCTTGATAAATGAGGCCCCTGGACAGTAAAGCTGTCAGGCAAAGGATTTGTCTTTTAAAGAGCTTCCACTGCTCAGCCTTTAACAGTTTTCCGAGGGCAGGAGTGTGCAGACAACAGATGCTTATTTAAATGTAAATATACCTTCAGGTCTCTGTGCACTATAGCCATGGAATGCAGATAGTTGACTGCATCCAAAACCTGCCGAATGAGCCGACTGGCGTCCATCTCTGTGTAGAAACCCTTCTCTACAATCCGGTCGAACAGCTCCCCTCCAGACACACTGATAGGAAAACAGACAACAGGAGACCAGCGTAAATATGTCATCATACCATTACAAAGCCTTGCTGCGATTGCTCCAGCCCTTATTCAACCCGTTTCTACAGCTATTAGAAAAGGCAGACAGTTTAAGTGTGTGTCTGCTTTCTGAGTGTGATGGGCAATCAGACTTTAGATAGGAGAGAAATCAAGGCAGCATTCAGAGATAAAGAGAGGAGCAGATCGTCACCACCTAAATAACAGGTGCATTAGTCACAAACAAAAATGATTATGTGGGAAAACCGTGCAGTGAGGAGAAAGGTCCTGATGACAAAAGCCACAACAGCTGAATGTGTTCCTTTACCAACAGCGAGTTAATTATGTTTCGCAGGATATTCAACAAACATTGATGTGAATATGTTAAAATAAAAGGTGATGAGACCTCAATGAGATTTATCCTACTGGATCTAATATAAACTTTTAATGTTTGGGATTATTCAGTTTTAAACACATTCAGTGCCAACCAATTAAAATGTATTAAAAAATTTATGAATGATGCATTTGGAAAACAATTGACGGACAACACTGCTATAAAAGCAGAGAAGAGCTGCTACGGAAGCCCGGATGTCCAAGCTGGAAGTTATTGTGCATTTGCTACATTGGTAAATGACCTGTTTTTGTATAGCGCCTTATTAGGGTCCTACAACCCCCCAAGGCGCTTCACAACACAATTAGTCCTTCACCCATACATTAACACACTGGTGATGATGAGCTACAATGTAGCCACAGCTGCCTAGGGGCAGACTCACAGAGGCGAGGCCTGCTGTACACTGGTGCTGCGAGTCTCTCCAACCACCACCAGCAGGCAAGGCAGGTTAAGTGTCTAGCCCAAGGACACAACAGCAGCATTCTATGCTGGGACTGGGATTGAACCTGCAACCGTTCGATTACTGGACAACCCGCTCTACCTCCTTTTCATAAGCTGTAAGCCATAATCATCACAATTATAACAAATAAAGGCTTGAAATGTCTGGATTTGCATGTATTGAGCCTGTCTCATATATGTTTCACCTTTTTAAGTTACAATAGCAAATCTGCAAAACAAGCTTATAACATTTTTCATGCCTCTTAACATTGTTCTAGCATAGTTAATAATGTGGTTCTCAGGTCCTGCTGGACCTGACTGCAGCCTTTGACACTGTTGACCATCACCTGCTACTGGAGAGGCTGAGAGACTGGGTAGGCCTATCAGGAACTGCTCTGGAGTGGTTCTCCTCTTATCTCTCTGAGCGCTCCTTTTCTGTGGCGTCTCCAAGTTTAGGTCCTCCACCACCTCCCTTACCCATGGTGTCCCACAAGGTTCTGTGCTGGGGCCTCTGCTTTTCCTCCTCTATCTGCTTCCTCTTCAGCACATCCTGAGCTCCTTCAAAGGAATCTCCTACCATCTTTATGCAGATGACATCCAACTGTACATCTCCTTTAAGCCCCATGAGAGGTCTAAGCTGCAGCTGTTACACACCTGCTTAGACTCTATCAAAACCTGGATGGCTGGGAGCTTTCTTCAGCTGAATGAAGATAAGACTGAGATCCTCATCTGTGCCCCAGACAAGCTGGTTCCCAAAGTCAGAGACTCTCTTGGTCAGCTTGCCTCTCACACCAAACCTTCCGTCAGGAATCTTGGCGTGACCTTTGACCCAGCTCTCACCCTGGATTCTCATGTCAGTTCTCTTGTTCGCTCTTCCTTCTTCCATCTCAGGAACATTCCTAAGCTGAGTCCCATTCTGTCCCGCTCTGAACTTGAGACAGTTCTCCACACCTTCATCTCCTCACGCTTAGACTACTGTAACTCTCTTTTCACGTGTCTGAGCAGAACCTCCCTGAACCATCTGCAGGTGGTTCAGAATGCCTGTGCTCGGCTTCTGACCAAGTCCTCCAAACACACGCACATCACCCCGCTTCTCCTCCAGCTTCACTGGCTGCCAGTCAACTTCAGGGTTCATTTCAAGATCCTGGTTCTGGTCTATAGGGCCTTACATGGACAAGCACTATCTTACATTGGTGATCTTAGTCCCTACACCCCCAGCAGGTCCCTGAGGTCCAGTGATCAAAGCCTACTGGTTGTGCAGCGCACCAGGCTAAAGACCAAAGGTGACAGATCATTTGCTGCTGTGGCCCCCAGACTCTGGAACTCTCTCCCCCTGAGCCTGAGATCAGTGGACTCAGTGAACTCCTTTAAAAAGCAGCTGAAGACTCACTTGTTCAAGCTGGCTTTTGTATGACCTTCTTCAACCCCTCTCTCTTTATTCTGCTCTCCCCACCTATTCCACCTTCCTCAGGATCCACTGATTTCCTTTCCTATTCACTCTCTCTCTCTCTTAACATTTTTTTAATCACAATTGTCTATTTTTGCTCATTTTAAATATATTTTTACACAATTTCTAAATGCTTTTTTATATTTTTGTTTTTGTGAAGCGCCTCGTGATTTTTATCTTGAGAGGCGCTATAGAAATGATACTTTCTTCTTCTTCTTCTTCTTCTTCTTCTTCTTCTCTTGCATTTATCAAAACACCTCGTCAATAATACTCGTTTCGTCTGGCAACGTGTGTTCCCACATTAGGTGGGACTTGGCCTAGGGATATAGCTGACGAGAGGAGTCAGAGTTCTGCGTTTGTGTTTAAAAGCTAGCTTGTTTTGCAAATTTAAAATGGCAGCTGTTGTTGAATTACTGAAATAAATGAAATTTTGTACCATTTTCAAAATTTTTGAGTTTCACCCTGTATGTGCTTGTTTTTATTTATTTAGTTATTTTTGTCCTGTTGCAATGGAAAAATGAGCATTCAAGTCTTTATTTGCATGTGAAAAACCTGTATTTCCTCAACAAGCATTACAATCTTGTTGTCAAAAGTTCACAAATCAAACAGATCAGGGTCTAAAATTCAGTTTTTCATTGACCAGCTTTGATGTTAGTTGCATTATTTAGCCATGGGATTGTGGAACACACCTTATGAAAAAAGGACGGGTGCTTTCATAAAGAATAACTGCCTTCACTTAGACGCCTGAAGGACACAAGAGGCGCTCGCTCTGGCTCGGAACACAGCACATTAACAAAATGACAGAACAAATGGGAGGCCAAGGGCTGACCTAAACAAACAGCATGGTGGGTTGACGTACTTACAGCTGCATTATCAGGTACAGGTGATTGGAGCTCTCGTAGATGTCCTCCAGAGCCACTATATTCTCATGCTTTATCCTGGAGGGAAAAAACAGAAAATGATGCCCCGCCGACTGCAAGAAAACCTTGTTTTGCATTTTGTCGCAAAGTGCTTGTCAAGCATTGGAAAAATCTTTTTTTTTTTTGTCAGGTGAGGAGAACATTTTGCAAGTGAGAGTTGGGGAGTGGGGATTCCTAATGGATGCTGACCAATGAGTGTGAATAAACAAAGTGATGGATGAAGATGAGTCTGAGTCCAGGAAAGTAAAAAAATTAAAAGGCAGGAAAACAAAGAGTCTTTAAAGGGCTGGTGTTGGAAAAAGGAAAAGACTGAAGATGAGGAGGAGGAGGAGGAGGTCTCCGAGGACTAAACAACCTTCACAGCTTTGCTTCTTTCTCAGTCTGGAATGAAAATGAGCTTGCAGTTTGAGGAGTGTCAGAAATAAAAAGATAAAAAAGGGAGAACAAACATATGAGAACCCAACAGAAAAGAGAGATTATTGAGCTAGTTAGAACGGTAACCAAGCAACTACGCCCGACCACAGCAATGCTCACGTTTAAGGTGACTGATAACTGAGCTTTTCTGAAAATTTTACCCATCAGGCCCTGGAGGACGATGCGTCACCTGGTGTCAGTGCAATCCTATCACAAGTTGTGCAGGAGTGTCTATGCACATGTGTGTGTGTGTGTGTGTGTGTGTGTGTGTGTGTGTGTGTGTGTGTGTGTGTGTGTGTGTGTGTGTGTGTGTGTGTGTGTGTGTGTGTGTGTGTGTGTGTGTACACTCTATAATCCCACAAAGGTTGATAGATGGGATCCGACGGGGCGGTTACTTAAGCCTGTCAGCGACTGTTAAATAAACTGAGACTAAATAAACCAGCTGAGAGCCGCGGGAGCAGAGGAACACAAGCTTGTCAGAGAAAGACCAAAGCCGGTCGCTCTTCTCAAAAGCGCTGCTCTTCTTTTTTAAACACCTTCATCACTCAGTCATGCTGCACCTACTTCCTGAGAACGGCGATTTCGTTCTCGATGCTCGTCTCCTTCCCCTTCAGGGCTTTCTTTGGAATGCACTTGATAGCAACCATCTTTCCTGTGACCTTCTCCTGAGCCATCACCACTTCAGAAAACGCACCGCTGCAAGAAACAAAGAGAAATACACATTAAAGTCCCATTTGTTACCAGCTCAGACAATATTGACATATAGTCAGGGGCACTGAGAGGACAGAGTACACAAACAGCATATTGTGAATATTTACTGAGAACTGACTAAGTCTACGCATGTGGTAAGCAGCCTGCTGTGCAGGGCTTATGTGCAGCCAAAAGCATGACAAACACTTTTAAAACCCTCCATTTAGGAGGGCAGACAGTGCATCTTTTCCTCTGCCATATGCCATCAGCGTCTTCCAAACAAATACAGAATTAAGGGAATATTTGTTCAAGCAGTCTATGTGTTGCTATGATACCAGATAGTTGATAACTATTGCTGAGCAGGCACTGTTATCACTTTTTCCCTCACTGCTTTTCCCCCAACAAGCATCTTAAAGATTGGCTTCGTGCCGAGATCTTGGAAATAAGCAGTAATCTGCAACTCTCTGGGTCAAGCTCACAAGCAGCAAGACTTTAAAATGACCAAAGTCTGCACAAATCCTTTTGTGATTTAAATACAAACAAATGAGCTTTAAAATCTCCAAATTGATCTGTAGATCATGCCATTTACAGCTGTGTAAATCTTTCCAGCATGAGCTCAAGCACAAACTTGATTCCACGTAAAGTTCAAAGAGCGTAACCTTTCTTTGAAAAGGTAATAACTGCAGTCTCTAACTCTCCCTGTCACAGCTCTTACACATGCTGCTACCAGGTCAAAATAGACACTTACAAGAGACACAACCTTTTTTTATAATAGTTCTATGGTCGATACAAAACATGTTTAAGAAGTTCTTTGCATTAAAATCATCTCACATAAATTTATTTCAGCACTTTTATTCTTGACATTTTCATTACCTTCCAGAATGAGCCAGTTCAGGGCTCTGTCACTTTAAGAAAATAAGCGGGAGTTGGCCACGCCCACCCTCCCCTATAAGCAGCTATATGCTGAGAAGCTCTGATATCTGGGAGGGGCTCGGAGTAGAGCCTCTGGTCCTCCAGCAGCAGCAGCTTTCTCTTGCACGTCAGAAGTGACTCTTCTATAATTTTTCTATATGTTACGTCACAATCGAGGCCGTTTTAAAATGGCTCATTTAATTCCTACAATCGAACACGGACGTAAACAGTTGGGTTTTTTTTCTCACTTTTGAGTATTTAACGATGCAGTAGGGACCCATATGGCAGCACAAAAGATTTCAAAAGATGAGCTTTGCATAATATGTCCCCTTTAAACTAAAAACGGAATCGTTTTGATAATTTGATAAGCAGTCGATGCATTCTTAGCTTAAACGAGAAAGCATATTAGAACCAGACTGTATTAGAGTTAAAGTCAGTTCAGAGCTGTTTCAATAATGTCCCATCTTGCTGCATGAACACCGTAGGACAGCTGGTGAGATAAAATGACATTGCTCAAATCCTACAGAAGTTAAATTGCATAACTTGCCAAAACCTTAATCCAGACTACGGTTTATCTCAAATTGCTGCAGGAAGGATTATGAGGCTGGAGATTACCCTAAACATACCATACAGACATTCTGTCTGTGATACAACCTCCAACAGAGGGAACATCACAATTAAGCCATGAGCTACAGGAGCTGATGTTCCGATGGCTGGAGCAGGTTTTGCATCACGTTTTACGTCTTTTACATCAGGCGGGGTTTTCATCATTTACCTGTGGGAAAAATGGCTGCAGGCATAGCAATCTATATGGGAAGAAGTCAAGCTGGAAGAGGATTTACAATGTTCTGGGAAAGGCTCTGCTGGTACACTTTGAAGTGCGTGGACTTTAAATATTTAAGGAGAAAAACTCGGGGTGGACCAGCTCTTTTAAAGCTTTGTGAGAATGAGACAAACTGCTCTTCCCCTCACAAGATTATTCTACTGTGAAGCAGAGACACTTCTACCTGATATTGTGTTACAACAACAGCCAGGACTTTTCCTAATTTCACAGCTTGTCATGCCAATATGCCACTTTTTGAGCCTAAGGACGTCATTAACTCAACTGGAGGAATATCTCGGTGTCTTGCTCTCGAGTGACGGACAAATGGATCAGGAATTCATCTTGAGATGAGAAATTAGAGCTTCTATACCCGTCTATCATGGTAAAGAAGGAGCTGAGACAGCTTTCAGTTTACTGGTCCATGCACAATCCAACCCGTAGTCAAGAGATTTGGATTGTGAACAAAAGGATAATATCCTGGATCCAAGGGGCTAAAACCAGCATCCTCTGTGAGGTGGTTAGAATCATTGCAGTGGTCTGTCATGGTGAAGAGAGCTGAGCAGGAAGGCAGAGCTCTCAATTTACTGGCTGATCTGCATTATCTGACCGAACGAATGAGATCACAGATACAAGCACCCTAAATTGAGTTTTCTCCGCAAGGTGTCTGGGGTCTCCCTTAGAGATGAATACAGCTATTGCTGCAAAGGTTCAATCCCCTCAACATCTACGCTTAGACCTAGTTACCACCAAGCAAATGGGGATCTAGAGATAGCATACTTCTCCAAAAGTGCTGATAGGAACGACGGAGCTGCCCAAACTAGAGATGCAATGTGAACAGAAGCACCTTAAAGTCTATCTACAACTTTACCGGAAGCCTTCGCAAAGTGACCAGGATCGGGGATGCTCTCCCACAGCAACATTTTGAACCTTTTGAAGCCTTGACAGTGTTGACTTATTCAGTGCAACATAAAGAGAATTGCAGTAGTCGAGCCTAGACAGTACAAAGACGAACGAGACAATCCCAAGATTGTTTTTTTAAAGCATGGATTTGATCCTGAAAAGGTGTCGGAGCTGGAAGAAGCAGGATCTCAACACTGCATTCACTTGTGCGTTGAACATCAGTGCAGAGTCCAGCCTTCTCTTCAAAACAAGCCAGCTGAGGTGGTCCTGTCATCAGATTACCGTGCATCTCTTTAGAGGTTTTCCAGGCATGTACCACAGACCCATAACTCAGTAGGAGTCCTGTATTACTGGAAAGTGTTGCTGAGGAGAGGGATGTCTGGGTTTCCCTGCTGTATCTGGATCCTCCTTAATCGAACCTTGTAAAACCAGCAGAAAATGGATGGATGGATTGATCCCTGCAACGGAAAATCACCCCTGACCACTCCTAAAAAAGAGGAAAGCAGACGTACTGAAGTGTCACATAAAACCTACCACCGTGGACGCTGGAGGGTTGATTATGTGCACAGATTGTAATCAGTTCCACCAGACAAGCTCTGAACTCAGCACCACAGTCGGCTGCTGTACACCATCAAATCCAAGGTAATCCCTCACTCCTCCATCACACGGAGGGCGAGGGGGGGCAGGGTCAGTCAGAGCCACAGCTCACAAACAGCCTATTGATAAAAAAAACAGCACCTGGCTGCAGGTGTGACGAGATGGAACACAGCCACGACTAACAAAACAGCGTGAACTCAGAGCGTCCGACTCCTCTGACCTGACCTCACTCTGGCACATGCATGTGGGGCAATATGTAAATACAGTCAGGGAGCCGGTGGACTATGTTGGCCCATTACGGCACCGTCTGCCCACCGCAGCTGATACCGCTGAGGACAACGAGCATCATTTCTATTCAGCACACTCCACAGAGTTCCACAGCTGTGTGGACGTCAGTAGAAGTGCAAAATTCCTCAACCATCTGTGCGCCGAGCCTGTCAGGCAACTTGTTTCTGTTGTTCAAGAGGTTGCACTCTGCTTTCTGCAAGAGGACAGACACAATGATGAAAACCACAGGAAACCTGTGATCTAAAGGAGCGTGCTGCTGAGCTCTGCTTCACCCCACCACACTGACAGGCAATAACATCACTTCCTGTGAGTGACAACTTGACACAATCCAAGGCAGCCATTACCATCACTTTGTCAGCACACGATGCCTGACAAACTGGGCCGCAAGCCCCAAACAAGAGGCAGAGAGGGGATCTGGAGGTTTCTGACTCAGCCACAGAGACAGCTGTGACAAATGCTTCCAATTATCTTCTTTCCAAATCTGAAACAAAAACAATGACTATCCATCTGAGGTGAAGCGCATCTGGGCCTGCTTTGCATTACAAATAACTCCTAAATGTTCCTGACCTCGTGTCACAGGCGGCTCAATCGGGTCAGCGCTCTGCGGAATAATAATCTTTATTGAATATTAAATTCCTTGCAGAGCTCTCTGTGCTCACAACCTGATACCACTATGAGCAGAGTGTGACAGTCTGCAGTCACGCAGCGAACACCACACAATGTGCAAAGAGCCACGGCTCTGGGTGAATGCGTCAGCTGTTGCTGCAGATGCAAGGCCAGTCTTATCTAGCAAATTTCTTTGTTCAAGGCCAGGACCTCAGCTGCTTATTCTGAAAGAATAAGACAAATGCATGCTGGTGACGGAAGAGTCTTGTTGCTTTTGCAGGCACAGGTTTGCTTATGGGTATTTGGAACCGGTGTGTGTATTCTGTTGCTACTGCTGAGTAATCTCACTGAATCATCTTGGGTGAGATGCATTACAGCAGCTGGTTATGCAACACAATAGAAATGCTGAGGCCTAATAATCGAGGTGAAGCTGCTGGATGCTGAAGCCTCCTGGTCAAAGTCATCTCTCTACATATATAAAAAACCTGGAAACCAGACAGGAAGTAGACAAAACTAAAATCATAAGAGCACAATTTTGAGCCTCATTTAAACAGCTATGGAGCCAAGTTCCTACAGTTAAACATCGAAGTAAAACCATTTACCCAGCTTTACTCTGCTGCTCTTCCGTGTCAGTTTTCTAGTTGCTAGAAAAAGGCAAACAGACGGACATTATTTATATCCGACAGGGACTCGTTCTGCATAAATCTCATCAATCATCTTCTGAACCATAAAGGTGTTCTAAACAGTTCAAGATGTTCCCGTGAGGAGGATGAAACACGATGAAGAAGCAGCGAAGCATCATTGAATCCACTGAGTGGCTCAAAACACCAACAGAAGATTTCAGGGATTTTGGCACATTTGTTTAGCTGATTCCAGACGT